ATGTCAGAGATGCGCCAATTTGGGACGCTAATTCTCTACCCCTTGTTTTGCAATCTTTTTTATTTCAACCATTTGGGTTCAGGTCAGAGCTGGGCAGTATTCGATTTTGTAAATACTGTTTAGTATTCAAATCCTTTAAAGTATTCAAATACTTTACTTCGCATAGTATTTGAATACTTAACCTTCCTTTTTTTACCAAAAATCGACTACTCCAAAATTTCTCGGGAAAACACTTTTTCTTATTAATTTTGGTGCGTAGAATCCAAAACAATTCGTACTTTTTCGATCAGACTTCTCAATCAAAAGTTATAGACTAGAAACCAATTTCGAAAGAAAATTCAAAGGGCTGTAACTTTTGAACTAGTAGCCCAATCTTGGAACTGTTTGAAATTATGGATTCTACAGGCCACATTCTATAAGAACATTTACCGGTCGATTTGAGACAATTTTTTTTCGGGCCTCAGAAAAAGGCAGTGTATAACCTTCCATTTTTTCCAAAAATCGACTGCACCAAATTTTCTCCGGAAAACACTTTTTCTTATTAATTTTGGTGTATTTGAGTGACAAGTATTCGAATACTTTTCAAAGTAAGATAATGAAATCCTTTCACAGTATTCGAATACTTTTTATAGTATACGAATACCTTTCATAGTATTAGAATACTTTTGAAAGTATTCGAATACATTCTAAAGTATTTGAATACTTATTTTTTTAAGTATTTGAATACTTTTCAATGTATCTGTATCTAGTATTCGCTTGTGCTGGACGTAAAAGTATTTAGTATTCAAATACCTTTGATTTGTGTAAAGTATTTACTATTTAGTATTCAAATACTTTCTGAAAGTATTCTGCCCAGCTCTAGTTCAGGTGGACCTTATGCTTTCAAGCTTCCCTTTTCATAACTTTAACCTTATATGGCAAGCAAGCAAGCTTGGACGTTTTCCAAAACTGATGCATTTCCAAAGAAACGTACACTTAGCGCTACCATAATGAGCTCACTTCCTAATAAAATGCTGCAATCCTATCCCTACGCCCGCTATCTAGCCACCAAAAACAATTAAAACAAAAGCTCATAGAAAACCCCTTCGCAAAAATGACACATATTTCGTTGACTCCAATCATCCAGATAAATTCTTTACATTATCACGACCAAATTTGTTTGGAAAGACACTGGAAAACTGTGTCTTTTCATATTTCTGCGGGAAAACATTGAAAAAATTGAAATCGATAATAAAAGCTTCCGTTACAAAGGGAGTGGGTGATTATGGGATTCATTTAAAGAGTGGTCCTTTTACCAAATTTTCTATAAAATCATTTATCATTCTCCGTTAAAATTAGAGCTCAAAAACATGGTCTAATATTAGGGGAAAATTTGTAGAGATGAGAAGATGACTACAGGATAGAAAATCAATACAAAAAAGTGCAAGAGGGAGAAGTAATTATCAGAAAAAAGAGGTTGGAAATTTGGAGGGGGATAGGGACGGGGAATTCACAACATGGGAAGAAGCGGGAGGTTGGTAATTGATTACACATTAGTAAATGAAAAAATACTGGATCAGATAGATGAATTTAAGATAGAAACAAGGATAGAATCGGATCACCAATCCAAGGAATTGAATCTAAAAGAGAAGATAAGAAGATCAAGGAATGAAAAGACGCACAGACGATGACAGTTATCTTATGGACAAGCGACAAGTAAGAGTTGTATATAGGGAGACTAGAGCAACAAGGAGCGAGTACAGAGGGGGAGTGGGGTTATATAAAGAAAAGTATTAAAAAAGCAATGACGTCGAAATAACTAACAGAAGGAGAGGGGAGAGAAAGCAGAAAGGAGCTGTGGGACAAAGAGTGCACAGAAAAGAAAAGGAGATCTAGAGAAATGATGAAGAAAGAAAGAAGAGGGAAAATGGGTGAAAGAACAGAAAAAAGTACAAAAGAATATAAATATCCGATCACGATATGGAGTCGAGGAGGAGACTTGTTGGTAGAAATGAATTTCGTCACCTGCGGCCCTCCCTATTTTGAAAAATTTTGCTTGGCACCATTAAAGGGATGCCATGCCTCCCCCCCCCCCCCCCCTTGAGACAGCGAAATTTTATGGCTGCCTGGCACACCTTCAAGGTATAGGGTACATATACTAAAAAATTCGAAGACTCTAGGACCATTCCCCTAAAAGTAGTTCAAAATCGCACAAGTGGACGACCGGAAAGGCGGACGAACCGACGAACAAAACGCAAACAATAGCACTTTTTTTAATTCTTAAAAAATGCGCTAATGAGATGGAGAAACAGAAAGAATACGAAGAACAAATTAAGGAAATAAAACAGAAAAGGATTTTTGGAAGATGATAAACAGAGGAAAAAACAAAAATATAACAAGTGGGAGGGAGAAGCAGCAATTAAAAAAATTGAAGAAAGGGAAAACAGCAGGGAGAGACGTGATAGATAATGAAGAAGATAGGGTCAAGGAAAGAATGAGAAATCTAGTCAACATGGTATGAAAAGGAGGGGGTTTACTCGAAGAATGGAAACAAGTGGTAATTGTGCGAATCTTCAAAAGAGAGAACAAGGATTCTGTGGAAAATTATAGGGGAATTATTGTAAGGACTACGGCGTATAGAATCTATGCAATGATACTGAACGAAAGACTGGAAGTGAAGAGGATGTACGAGGAAACACAAATAGAATGGGAAGGGAAAAGTATGGAAGTTCCCAACGGGGGAACGAGAAATGAAGATAAGAAGAAGAAAATGTAGAATATACGGAGAGGAAGAAGAGGAACAGATGTTATGGAACGTACGGAGGTGGAAATGCCAGTAGTAAGAGTGAGGGGGGATTTTGTTACGTGGTAAATGTGATATTACACTACTGTTGAACATTAACCCTCTGTCTTAATTCAGTTTCTGTTCCCGTGGGAATTTCAGGAAGCGCTTTAGCGTATACCTTAACGCCTTCAAAGAAATTCTAAATGTCAAGGCTTTATCTTGCATAGTGCTCCTCTAAAATCCCTGAGGAATGTAGGTTACATACCTTCAGCTTATCAAGTAACAAAATCTAACGTGACATCCATAAGAAATAAGAATGTTGATGTCATTTACTCGACAGTCAAAAGTCATAAAATTCATCGCAACCGAGGATTACTATACATACAGGTCTGAATATAATCATAAAATTCGTAATTTTAAAACCAAAGGGAACATTAACCTTAAAGAGCAATTGAAGGGTTGCTTACTGATCATTTATACATAATCGATTAACGAAGTACAAATATTTGCTGTACTACAATAATTACAACCCCCGCAATCGAGGATTACTATACATATAGGTCTGAATATAATCATAAAATTCGTAATTTTAAAACCAAAGGGAACTTTAACCTTAAAGAGCAATTGAAGGGTTGCTTAGGGATCATTTATACATAATCGATTAACGAAGTACAAATATTTGCTGTACTACAATAATTACAACCCCCGCAATCGAGGATTACTATACATATAGGTCTGAATATAATCATAAAATTCGTAATTTTTAAACCAAAGGGAACTTTAACCTTAAAGAGCAATTGAAGGGTTGCTTACTGATCATTTATACATAATCGATTAACGAAGTACAAATATTTGCTGTACTACAATAATTACAACCCCCGCAATCGAGGATTACTATACATATAGGTCTGAATATAATCATAAAATTCGTAATTTTAAAACCAAAGGGAACTTTAACCTTAAAGAGCAATTGAAGGGTTGCTTACTGATCATTTATACATAATCGATTAACGAAGTACAAATATTTGCTGTACTACAATAATTACAACCCCCGCAATCGAGGATTACTATACATATAGGTCTGAATATAATCATAAAATTCGTAATTTTAAAACCAAAGGGAACTTTAACCTTAAAGAGCAATTGAAGGGTTGCTTAGGGATCATTTATACATAATCGATTAACGAAGTACAAATATTTGCTGTACTACAATAATTACAACCCCCGCAATCGAGGATTACTATACATATAGGTCTGAATATAATCATAAAATTCGTAATTTTAAAACCAAAGGGAACTTTAACCTTAAAGAGCAATTGAAGGGTTGCTTATTGATCATTTATACATAATCGATTAACGAAGTACAAATATTTGCTGTACTACAATAATTACAACCCCCGCAATCGAAGATTACTATACATATAGATCTGAATATAATCATAAAATTCGTAATTTTTAAACCAAAGGGAACTTTAACCTTAAAAAGCAATTGAAGGGTTGCTTAGGGATAATGTATACTTAATCGATTAACGAAGTAAAATATTTGCTGTACTACAATAATTACAACCCCCGCAATCGAGGATTACTATACATATAGGTCTGAATAATAAAACCAAAGGGAACTTTAACCTTAAAGAGCAATTGAAGGGTTGCTTAGGGATCATTTATACATAATCGATTAACGAAGTACAAATATTTGCTGTACTACAATAATTACAACCCCCTCAATCGAGGATTACTATACATATAGGTCTGAATATAATCATAAAATTCGTAATTTTAAAACCAAAGGGAACTTTAACCTTAAAGAGCAATTGAAGGGTTGCTTACTGATCATTTATACATAATCGATTAACGAAGTACAAATATTTGCTGTACTACAATAAATAATATCATAAAATTTTATTTTAGCACCATCACAAAGCTGAGAAAAAATCACTTAGTCACTTGATACAGTATTGTATTCTGTTCTGAAATTTATTTTATTTCGTGCGCCGCGTTCCATTTTTATTTAGAATGACAGATGTCATTGGAATGCGCAATGATTTGTTTGATTTGCCGTTAAAGTGATCACTTTATCTACTTTTACGGTTAAAAAGACACAGATTAAGCTGAATAATGTCGGTCCAAGACTAAACCCCTGCGGTACTCCGCAGTTTTTTACGTTTGTGAAATCAATTTCGTTTGCAAAAACCTCTCTGTACAATTAGTGCGTAAAATTAAAGAGTAGCCATACCTGCTCCACTCAGCGTCGCAACCGTTGGACGTTTCGTCGTTTCGGCCGCGTACTTCACTGGTTTGAAATGGAAAAACGAAGGGGAATATCCCGATCCTTGTCGGCTGAGTGAACTAAATCTGTCCTCGCGATCCTCTATGTACAGACCCTCCTTACCCATCGCCGCCAGCTGGCGACCTTTCGGCATGAACATGATGAGGAATATCATGGCCGTCGATATAATTAGTCCAAAGGCAACACAGGCGTCCTTATGTCTATCACTTACAATAAATCCGCTCAGCACCCAAATGAGCCACGTTGGGATGCTGCAACCTATCGATACGGCTATGTAGGTAGCCTCCCTGTAATTGTCTCTAATGCTACGGGATTTGAACGCCAAAACTGACACAAACACTAGGAGGAACACAATGTATATAAGGGAGAAAAGCATGTCCGCGAACGACGTTCGGCACAACGGCACAGTCACGGCATTGTTTATGTCTTCGGCTGTGACCAAGAGCTGGTGCTTGCTCTGGGAGACATTCTCCAAGGCAATGTTGTCGACTAGCGGCGGGTTTGTTAACAACCATTGCGCTCCAATGGCAACCTGAATTAAAACTGCGAAAAGTAGGAGAAGCCCTTGGTACGGCGCCGGTAGGTAGACTCCACTATTTAGGCTGATTAAAAAGACGCACTTCACCAGAAGGGAGGCAAATACAAGTGCGTACGAAACGCCGGTACCAAACCGAACGATTGCACAAGTGGCTTGTGTAGGGGTCAGTGCGATTACTCCCCCAAGACCGGCGCCGGAAAATAGGCCCAAGAGCAGCATCTGCCCGAGAAAAAGGTGCCTCCTGCTTGGTATCGTTTGGCACGCTTTGCATAGCACGAACACTTCAAATCCCGCGATGAGCAGCATCGTCAAGGTGGATAGCGCCAAAACTGGTATGACCCAAACCTCACTGCGAAACAACCCGTAAATTCGCACACTTTCATCGGGACAATCCGTGCACCCTATTTTCTGGACTGGGCCCGGCGTCGTGGTGGTGGTGGTAGTCGTGGTGCTCGGTACCAAAAAGAACTCGGTGCTCATCTGCAAACGGCGCTCCAAGGCGAAGGTACTGTTATCACCCTTGCCTATCATAAACACATTTGCATTCTGCACGGGCGGACCTCTATCCCAGTGACTGCTCAAATTAAACTGTACTCGTCTCTCCGCCGAAGACGCGACCGTCAGCAGCACCACGGTGCACACCAGCACAGTTCGAGCCATACTGACCCGGCCGCGGACGTGTTGTACTTGTCGTCGCCGTCTTTTACCACTAACAAACGATTTATTCTCGTCGCTTCCTCCAGGTAGCCGAAGAAAGAGAGGGAAACTTTTCGACGTCGGACTCCTTAATTACACATCTAAGAGGGTCGATGCGAAAATGATAGCCTCGCAAATCGCTCGAATTAAATGGGCGCGACGACGCGGGTCGCCCGCACAGAGGAATCTTAAAAAAAAGAAGTTTCGGCAAAACTGGTTTCTGCCTTTTTATCAGCGGGAGCTATCTGACAGCTTTTTCGAACGAAGGCTAAACGCATTTAATACAGTCTACTCGTTTTATTTTAAGCTGAAAAAAGGCGAAACTCGCTCGCAGACCGAGATGGTGAGAGAGAGAGAAAGAAGCGAACGCGGCTCTCTCTTTCTTTATGTAACAATTTCGTCTATTACAATCGATTACCTCGACAATTATCCATTGTCGACGCTTGTCGATTCTATTAATAGTAAAACGTGATCGTCTTCGATCGGGAATCTTTTCATTTAACAAACCGCACAGACCACAAGATACACTACAATGGATTAAAGTGCATTAAAGTCGTTGTCCACTGGCTCCCAAAACCGGGGCCAAATTTTTGCTTTTTAGTGAAAATGACGAGGGACAAGTAAAGCCAGTATAAATAACACAGACGCCACTTTCATTTTTCCTCAAACTAACCGTTGACCGACAGAGAAGAACCGCGCCTGCAGTTAGAGAATCAATCAAGAAATTATCGACCAAATTTTGCTTCGGTGGAGCCGCCTCTTACTGGGGTTTTCCTGACACCATCGGGGTAAATCAGGCAAGGGATATAAGTAGCATTTAGCTTCACATCTTCGGACCATTACATATGCTCCAGGTATCCCATGTATTTCAAAGGCTCCATATTATTCAGATCCATCAGATGATCTTCCTGGATCTTCAAGATTGATTCATCAGATCAGTTCCTCCAGGTCCGTTGGATTCTCCCGCTTCCATGGTTCCCTCAACTCTGTCAGCTTCTTCTCATTTTTGAGGTTATTTCTTCAGCTTCTTAAGCGCCATGAGCCTCTTTCACCTCTTCAGCGGATTCCGTTTCCTCAGCTGATTTAGCTTCTTCGGATTCTTTCGCTTCTTCAGTCTCTTCAGCCCCTTTCGCCTCTTCAGTGTCTTCAGCTGATTAAGCCTTCTTCGGCTTGTTAGCATTTTTCTGTTTCTTCAGTTTCTTCGACCTCTTCCGCTTCTTCAGCGTCTTCAGTCTCTTCAACTTTTTTAGCCTCTTTCGATTCTTCTTGAGATGATTCAGCTTCTTCAGCTCATTTAATTACTTGAGCTGATTCGGCTGCTTCAGTTTCTTCAGCTTACTCAGCTTCTTCATGTCCTTCAGTTTCCTCAGATTCATCAGCTTCCTTCGTTTCCTCACCTTCTTCAGCTTCTACGGCATTGCAGCGTCTTCAGTCTCGTCAGTCTCTTCAGCTTTGCTTATCTTCTTCAGCCTCTTCCGTTTATTCCTCTCTTCCGCTTTTTTGCTTCTACGGCCTCTTCCGCTTCTTCAGATTCTACGGCTTTTTTAGCGTCTTCAGTCTCTTCAATCTCTTGAGCACCCTCAGCTTTTTCATCCACTTCACCTTCAGCTTTGCTTATCTACTTAAAATTCTTCGGCCTCTCCGTGTCTTCCGCTTCTTCAGCCTCTCCCACCTCTCCTGTCTTTTCAGCTTCATTCGCCTCTTCCGCTTCTTTCACTTAATTCGGCCTCCTTCAATCCCCTGCCCTCTTCAGCCTCTTTAGCTGATGCAGCCGCTTCAGTTGCGTCAGCCTTGCTTATCTTCTACAGACCCTTTCGCTTCTTCCATCTCTTCCGCTTTTTTGATTTCTTAGGCTCTTTCCAATTCTTCGGCCTCTTCTGCCTCTTTCGCCTCGTCTGCGTTTTCCTCTTCATAAGCCTCATACCCTTCTTCCTTTCTTCCTCTTCTTCAGCCTCTGTAACTTTTTCAGATTCTTCAGATACTTCGGACTATGCAGGCTCTTCATGTTATTCTTCAGATTCATCAGCTCTAGCTTCGGCTTCTTCAGATTCTTATATTCTTCAGATTATTCAGGCTCTTCAGATTCTTCAGACACCCCAGACTTTTCAGAATCATTAGATACCTCAAACTTTTCAGACTCCTCAGACAGATTCTACAGATTCATCAGGCTTCTTTGGATTTTTCGGATCCATAATCTTCGGCTTCGCCATCTTCTTCGGATTCTTCTGCTTCTTCGGTTTCTTGGGCTTCTTCGGCCTTTTCCGCCTCGTCTGCATATTCCCCTTCTTAAGCCTGATACGTTTCTTCAGCCTCTTCCGCTTCTTCAACTTCTTTCATTAGATACTTAAGACTCTTCAGACTTTGGAGACTATGCAGACCCTTCAAACTCTTCAGACCCTCCTTCAGATTTTTCAGATTCTTCAGCTCCAGCTTTGGTTTCTTCAGATTCTTCTGAACCATCAAACACCCCACACTTTTCAGAATCATTAGATACCAACTAATCGGACTCTTCAGACGGGTTCTACAGATTCATCAGGCTTCCTTGGATTCTTCGGCTTCATCATCTTCGGATCCATCATCTTCCGCATCATCATCTTCTTCGGATTCTTCAGCTTCTTGGGCTTCTTGGGCATCTTCGGCCTCTTCCGCTTCTTCAACTTCTTGCAACAGATTATTAGATACTTAAGACTCTTCAGACTCTGCAGATTCTTCTGGTTATTCTTTAGATTCTTTAGATTTTTCAGATTATGCAGATTCTTCAGGTCTAGCTTCAGCTTCTTAGATTCTTCAGGCTCTTCAGATTCTTCAGAACCATCAGCCCGCCCACACTCTTCAGAATCATTAGATACCTCAAACTTTTCGGACTCTTCAGACGGATTCTACAGATTCATCAGGCTTCTTTGGATTCTTCGGCTTCATCATCTTCGGGTCCATCATCTTCGGCTTCAGCTTCTTCGGATTCTTTTGTTTATTCAGATTCTTCAGCTTCTTGGGCTTCTTCGGCCTCTTCCGCCTCGTCTGCATCTTCCCCTTCTTCAGCCTCTTCCGCTTCTTAAGCCTCTTCACCCTCATAGGCTTCTTCCGCTTCTTTATCCAACCTCTTCCGCTTCTTCAGCTTCTTCAACTTCTTTCCAACAGATTATTAGATACTTAAGACTCTTCAGACTCTGGAGACTATGCAGACCCTTCAAACTCTTCAGACCCTTCAGACACTCCAGATTTTTCAGATTCTTCAGATCCTGGAGATCCTTCAGATTATTCAGATTCTTCAGCTCCTTTAGTTCCTTCACCTTCGTCACCTCACATTGCTCACTGACTCCCCAGTCCACACATATTCATTTTTACAAGCCCGTCAGTCAAAGTACCACCGAGCTCCAGCTCTCATTCCTTAGGGCAACCGTCGACATGCTTTTTTAGGATGTGACACTACGTGAGCGACAGATTTTACAAACTCCACTCGTTTTACAATCCAACCACCACACCAGAGCGCCTGTCTGCAGGTGTCGAGCAAATGTTTTTGGCATTTTACGGAGCTCCTCTCACCATGGCTGCCGGAAAACCAATCTCCCCAACTAAAGGTGCAATGGGGTTGTAGGAGGGGAACTTTCTGGATCCAAAGAAATGGGGGTCGAAGAAGTGTCGTCAGCGCATGGACCCTGCCGCAGCTGACTATATTGAACATGATAGTTTGCTCATGCAAGACTGGGTGCGGACCAAGGTGTGGCTGTCGGAAGCAGGCGTCTCATGCTCGGTAGCCTGCTCGGAAAGCACTCAACCGTCCAGTGTCCCTCGTAGAGGAGTTATCAAACTACGAGCTTGGTGAATAGTTTTTATTTTTATGTTATTTTATGTTTAAGTTATTTCATTTATTGAGTAGGTATGTTCAGTATGTGTAGTTATTTCAATATATTTTTCAATTTCACATTTCATGATTTATCCCTTCCCCCTCGTTTACGTACACAGCATACTATAGATATTGACTAAAACACTAGAACTAAGAAAACATTTTTCTTCGATCCCCTCGGAAACTATGTAACGATTTATGTTCTTCATTACATTATTGCTTTTCGTTTTTTGCATTTTTTCTGTCGAGAACCGTATTGGGCTAACCGCTGAGGAGTTAGTTGAGAACGCATGGAAGTTTAATTGCCGTCATCCATATTTTATTAATCTCTGGCAATTGGATTCATTAAATTGGGGATTCTGGAATAATTAGTGAACGGATTCGCCTAAAAACTCCAATAGGGGGGATATAATTGCGTTTTTCTCTTTATCGTAAGTACGCCATTTCCATTTTCCGTAATGTACACTTCAATTCGGCTGATATTTGTCATATTACAATCTCCATCGACGATTGTTGCATTCATCTATAATTAGCCGTCTTGTTTAAGAGGTATGTACATTTTTTTTCGGAACTTTTTGACCGCAAAAGGTAATAATTACCAAAATTTGAGGCTAAAAGTCGAAATTTTAAGAAAAAGATTAAGAAACTGGAGGAGAGTCGAGAAATGTACCAAAGTCGTTGAAATATCGTGTCATCGTGTTAATCGCCGTCTTCATGGTACGAGAATATGAAGGTTCAAATACTTACACATCCCTAAATTGGAAGCCTTCGTAATTTCATTTTACAACAATAAATTGACCATAACGTACATTAAAAAAACATTAAAACGTTATGCTTAATATATTTTTTGAGTTTAGTTCAGCGCAATTTAATTTCATCTTTACAATTACAGCGAAAAACCTCCAATCAACACCGCATTCGATTTGCATGTCGAATTTATTAGAGCTCGACCTAATATTCTTCACTATCGTTCACCGTTTTTGTTTTCTTGAAAAGTTGGTCGAAAAATTGACGCGATCATGAAAGCAGAACAAAACATTTTGTGCGGCGCGACGTGCTCATGAATGCTTAAAAGTGTATTAACTATCTACTTATATGATAATTAATTTAGCCATTTAATTGAATTGCATAGTACACGAACGAGGCCATTTCAATTTTTATTACAATAATAACAAAGTTTTTTTGTTTTGGAAGTTTTCACGGTACTCGAGTGCATAATTAATATCGTTTGACTTACTTTTTCGCACGTTTACTTTCTTTGCAATTGACGCGATTGTTTTAGGTGAGATTGTTATTATATATGAAAATTTATTCAGTATAAACAGATCAAATTTGCAATACCTACTCCTTCCTGCGCTTGATTAGTTTGACTATTTGTGTAGTCGTCGACTCAAGTTAT